CTCTCGTGTGGTGCTCTGTGTCAACGTTGCAAGCCACCATGGCCGTGACCGCCTGCCAGGGCTTGGGGTTTGTAGTTTCACTGATTGGGATTGCTGGTGTCATTGCCGCCACCTGCATGGACCAGTGGAGCACTCAGGATTTATACAACAACCCGGTGACAGCTGTATTCAACTACCAAGGGCTGTGGCGCTCCTGTGTCCGAGAGAGCTCTGGATTCACTGAGTGCCGGGGCTACTTCACCCTGTTGGGCCTACCAGGTAAGGGCTGCTGACTGGCAGGCTGGTGAGGGACACTGGGCCTTTGTCCCGGGCACCACGGAAGGACTGCTGGGTTGGGAGGTGCAACAGCCTCCGCCACCAGGCTAAGAATAGGCCTGCAGAAAGCGTAGGGAGAGGGGCTGTCGGGGTTCCTGTTCCCTTAACTGGATGGTGCCCAATTCCTTCCAAGGGGCACAATTTTAAAATAACTTCTATGTGAGCCATGGCATGGCATCTCAATCACCCAGAGTAATAAGACTCAGGAGGCTCAGACTTTAGCCACTTCCTTTTTTAGCCCTAAGATTTCCCTTTCTGAATTGAGGACTGTGAATCCATCTCCAGGCTCCCTCCTGCCCGGTCCCAGCTTCCAGTGAAGCCTAAGCATGTAGCAGCAGCAGAAATGGGGCAGAGGAAATGGCCAGAGAAAAAGAGCTGAGTGCTGTGTCTCTCTGGAGTGAGCTAGATGGGGTCCTCCTCTGTGGCCCCTGGCTCCTAACCTCCAGAAAATATTGACCACATGGAACAGCACCCAGGGCACCCTCTGCGTAGAGGCCTCTGTGGCAAGTGAACTCTGCCAGGCGGCCAAAGGTGTGTGGAGTGGGATGTCCCCCTCCCCAGGCTGGTGTACTAGCCACACAAGGATGGTGTACTTGTTCATGTAGTAGATTAGTCATTTGTACTTGAAGAAAGACTCAAATCTCAAAAGTATAAAATGGTGAAAGTAACAGAGTAAGGCAAATTATAAACTTGTCATTTTTATTTTTTAGTTCTTTGTTCCTTCCATAAATATATATATCTCAGAGTCTTGAAAGGGATATTGATATAAGGTGACATTATGAGGAGGATGAGAAATAGAAAATTGGGCTTTCTCCTTCAGATAGTCGCCATTTGACTGTAAGGTCAAGACTTAGAAAAGCACAGAAGGTGATGAGCGAAGTCATGTCACACAGTGATTCATTTTTCTAGACATTCCACATTTATTGATGGAAAGCTCACTACAACCTCAGGATTCTGTGGGCCTAGAACCCACACTCAATGGGTATAGAGAAAAAATAAAACCTTCAAATACTGCTGCGAGGAATAAAATTCATAGAAAAAATCTAGTTCTACATAAAATATTTTTTAAACTTCACACCATTTGACATCCTAATTCCTCTGATATCTACTCCATAAGAGTAATCAGAAATTCTGACAAAGAGTTGTTTAAAAAATGTTCAGCATAATATTGTTTTTCATACAAAAAAAAAAAAAAACTGGGGTGAGATATAAGAATAGATGCAGTTTGTTTATTTTGTTTTTCTAAATGGGGGTTGGGAGTAGGTGAAAAAGGTGAAGGGATTATGAAGCACAAATTGGCAGTTACGAAATAGTCCTGGGGATGTAAAGTACAGCATTGGGAATATATAGTCAATAATATTGTAATAACTATATTGTGTCAGATGGGTACTAGACTTATAGAGGGGAATCACTTCTTAAGTTATATAACTATGTAATCATTATGGTGTATTCCTAAAACTAATATTATATTGAATGTCAACTGTAATTTTAAAAAATAAAATAAATTTTAAAAGGAGTAGGTGATGTTTAGATGAATAATAGTACTTCTATGTAATGGGGTACTATTATGCTCATGTTAAAATACTTTTTTGCTCACATCAAATTAAATGATTAATATTAAATATATTAACCAATGTTTACAAAGAGTTTAATTTCACGTATATGCAATTAAGTGAAAAAAAACAAATCATCAAGTGGTATAATCTCTTAATCAAGTAGAAATTATGTAGAGCAAAGGGATAAAAAGCAAGTATTCCAAATATTTTGTCTGGGATTTAAAATCATGAGTGATTTGTTCATATCATTTCTACTTCCAAATTTTCTATTATGAGCACCAATAGGTGGAATCAGAAATTAGGGGTGTACAGAGTGGGGCAAAAGTAGGTTTACAGTTGTGAGTATGGGACACACAGTTTATTCTTGTAATATTATTTATTAATTACTGTATTATTTAACAAACAAATGTAAGTCTACTTTTGCCACACCCTATACAATGTGGTAATATACTTTTTAAATTAATAGATGTATTGACTATTTTTCTTACTCCTCTCATATTTTATTTTACATTGTTATTTGACCACCAATTTTGCTTAACTACTGTGTATGACTTTATATTTATATTCTTAAAAAATGGTAAAGCAAAGGTGGAAGAAATGTCTTCTCAATTATCAGTGAAATAACATAAGCTCCTGGAAATTCATAACTTGAAATGGCACTGCCAGACCACATTTAACCCTGAATATAGGGATGATTTTCCCTAAGAAGTCAGCAAAACATTTTGCTCCATTTTAAAGGTGATTAAACAAAGTTGTACCAATATTATTACAGTATTGTTAAACAGAATCAGACCATGAGTTATTAGTATTTTAGAGATGCATTTAAGATATTTTTAAAAAATCTATTGCCATGAATGAGGAAGCCAGCTTTTCCCTGCAGACCCCATCCGCTCCTTGGCAGTGACAGGTAGGGCGCTGACCCGCTCACTTTCGAGCACCGCATCTCACCAGGAAGTGAAAAATCCCCTCTTCCCGATGTGTCAAAGCACATCAATATTTATTTCACCTTAAAAATTGTGTAGACTTACAATTTCTTTCTATTTATTTAATAGTCTAGCTAGATAGAGGTGGCTTTAGTCTGCTCTTTAAAAAATTAACTTTTCCTTCTTCCAAAAAAAATAAAGTCTCAGTCACCATTTCAAACAAGAAAGAAAGTTTAATTCCTTATACCTGAATTTTTAAATTTTGCATAAAAACATTTGCATAGGGAATTGGGAATAAGATTAGATAACCTGTAATGAACTAGTTTTTAAATTTTTCTATTATCAACTTATTATTTTTGTGATATTATGTTCAATGTATTGGGGGGCATTGTTAGACAAATGTCATAAAATGAACAACTGCAAACCAAACTCTTACAGATCTCTTTATGAACAAAAAGCTTGTGTCATGGTTGAAATAAGAGTAAAATGGGACTTTGTCTACAGAAATATTCATGATTTATTCCACCGTTTCCCAAACTAATTGGTCAGTCTCTGTCCACCAGCAGCGACCACAGTCACTTTTTCTAGTTGCCCCCTCCCCACCTGTGAGACCTGGCCTTGTAGCTCAGTTCAGGGGATACAGAGCCACCAACGGTACCTGTCACCTAAGTCATATATGACTCTGGCTTACTCTCTTCTTTTGGGTTTTCTGGTTCTTTCTTCATTCTCTACTAACCCTGACCACAGAACCTAAAGCAAGGTGTTCCGTTGAGGGAAGTGTTGCCTCCATTCAAATTAGGAAAGAGACCTTCCATATGCGCTTTCTGTGCGTGCTGGGAATAAAGCCATGGGAGCAGCGGCTGGGTGCACCCAAGATAACATTGAAATGTCCAGATGCTCAGCCTTGTTTCCTGGAGAACTTGTATAGTTAGAGGCTGGGGTGTGCTTGTGTGTGTGTTTTCAGGGCCTTGAAATTCAGATTTAGAGAAGTTCTAGTTAACATATACCTGAATGCAGAGGCAAGACACACATGACCCACAGGAAGCAGCAGGTTCATTAATTCTCTAACAAAATCAAATTGTGTTGACAAAATACAATGGCTGATCTCTGGCCAAGCCTTTCTTTTGCATGATTATATAATCCCTGATACTTTTATCAATTGCAGTGGAAATTTTTCTGCAAAATGTAGAAAATAAGTATGTGAGATCTGAAAGGGCTCTGAAATGTCCCAGTTTAGTCCCCACATTACAGATGAAGACACTACGACCTGCAGGACCTGAGCAGTTTGCCCCAAATCACCCAGCACATGGCATGTTTGTGACAGTATCAGGAGCAGATCCTAGGTCTCTCAGTGACCAAGGCAGGGTCTTTAGTCCAGCCAGCTTGGGTCTCTCTCTGGCCTTTGTGGAACCTTCTGTGACTGCCACGTGGTCGTCAGGTGGTTCGGAGGCACCAGGGGAAGGGTGAGATGGAGGTCAGCAGCATGCCCCACATCTTTTCATCCCAGGTCCCATACCTGTGGACCGAGAGCATCTCTCTAGGATTTGGCTTCCTGTTCTCAAAAGTAGGAACAACTTAGTCTGTCCCTGACTCTCCATATGGAAATAGAGAAAGAACACAAGAGAGAAAGTTGAGGAAAGAGCTCTACCTTTGTTGATTTAAAACATCTGTGATTCAAAGCATTTGGACAAGTTCTTTCATCTATTTGTACCTCACTTGACTCACCACCCCCCAAAAAATATATGAGGGGAATATAACACCTGCTCTACTCACTTCTGTAAGATTAAAATAGAAAGATATAAGTGAAAAGTGGTTATTAAGTTGTGAGGAGAAAATGTGGAAGCCTGGTTTAAGGCGGAGTTTCCTGGGGCCAAATTTAAAAAGTGAGGTCAGCCAAAGCTCTTTCCCTAGATGAACAGAGCCTCTCGAAAGGTCTTGTGGGGGTTCTCCTTGGTGCTGGACACATCAGCTGTTCCCCGGATGGTGGCGTGCTCTGACCAGAGCCAGAGGGTGTTCACTCAGCCTGCTCTGCTCTCACACCAGCTGGGCCTGAGCAGATCAGCAGGACAAGTGCCTCTTGGAGCCGCTTAAAAAATAATGCCCTTGAACCAAGAGTGAAACTGAACTATCTAAGGAAAACACTGTGAGCAAATACCAAGAGCTGAGAGAAACCATCTGATTAGAGCAGCTCCCCTCAGGAGCACGGTAGGACCACACCTTCCACAGGAGGAAGGTGGCAGCTGGTCCCAAGGCGGCAGCCACTGTGCCAGAGGCAAAAGCTATGTCCACCACCACATACCAAGTGGTGGGCTTCCTCCTGTCCATCCTGGGCCTGGTGGGCTGCATTGCTGCCACAGGGATGGACACGTGGAGCACCCAAGACCTGTACGACAACCCGGTCACTTCTGTGTTCCAGTTTGAGGGGCTCTGGCAGAGCTGCGTGAGGCAGAGCTCAGGGTTCACCGAATGCCGGCCCTACTTCACCATTTTGGGCCTTCCAGGTAGGTGCCTGGCGAAACCCAGGGCCCCCACCAGGTGAGGGCAGGAAGGGGCTATGAGTTCTCACTGCAACCAGGAGGGACCTCAGAAATCACCTCAGAGATCGAGTCATGCTTCCACCTCTGGGTGTGACCCTTGCAGGGTTGGCTCAGAATGCAAGGTGTGAATAAGAAGAGTTGACCCCAAGTCAAAGAGGACGTTAGAAGGGGAAAATCAAAGAAATCAGATCAAGTCAAAGGAACTGGTAGCGAAGAGGCTGGTCATGAAAAGAATGGGTCCTTTGTAAAGGCATGCTCATGGTACTAGAATAGACCAGTGTTCCTCACGGAGAAAATTAATTGTGTGCATGTATGTGCATGTGACTTGCTCCTGTATGCACATACATGGGAGTAAGGAAGTAGGATGATGAATATTTTCTTAGAGCTGAGAGCTAGTTTTGGGAGCTAGTTTTATTTTATTTTCAATTCAATTCAATTTTTCTTTGGAAAGTTGGATCTCTGGAGGTGCTAAAAAATATTGCCATTAAATTATATTCTTTTTCTGCATTTAGGGTGAGAAGTTCTGTTACGTACTCCTAAAAGACAATGTATGTCAGAATATAATTATAGACGTATAATCATATTATAATAATGTCAGAATATAAATATAATTATAAAAGTGACAGTCTTTCACTGCTGAAGATGAATTAAATATGCATAGTAAGAACTTTGCATTCTGGATATTATGGAAGCTCTGCTTGTGATTTTTAAAAAAAAAAAGAAGAAAAAAGTAAAGGAAAGAGAATATAAAAGGTCAGGCTAAACAGTGGTTCCAAGGACTGTCCAGGGTGTGAGTTTGGTAAGAAAAAGAAAATGGTGTTGGGTTTTGCCTCCCTGAAACAAACACCTTGTGAATAGGTAGATGGAAACAAATTTGCATGAAACTGTAAAGAGCCTGTGAAGCCCTTGAAACTGAATTGTGAAAAGCAATTTAATTAATTCATCTTTATTTTCAGGAAAAAAAAATAGAAGATGGGTGACAGAATAGAAAAGTTGGGTTATTTACTCCTTATTTTGGAAGCCATTCATATTGTAGGACCAGCAGGGCCACACACTACATGAAACACCTGCTTAGAGAAGCAGAGGAGGTAGGACCTGGCCAGAGGGAAGAAAGAAATCCAGTGAAGGAGGGATTGTGCTGTAGTGTGAGAGGAGAGGTCAGAAGGTAGGAGGAGATACGAGACAGTGGATTGTTGAATTGCTGGCTTCACCTAATTTTAACATTTAAATGAAGAAAAAAGATTGACCTCATATCCAAAATTAAGGCATGACATCCCATGACTTCATGCTCAATAATCTCTTCACAGATCATCACCACACCTTATCAATGTCTTGCTCATTTTTTATCTTCCATGTGTGGAGCTCCCAAATATTTCCATTCTCTGAAATGGCCAGACCCCATTGCTACCAATCTCATTTGTCTTTCCTATTTTACCGAGGGAAACGCTCCTTCTCTCCCCCTTGACATTTCTACTCTCTGCAGAACAAGCCTCCTCCCTTTCTCTCGCCCAAGGTCGGCCTCTCCACCAGGGATCTGGATGCTCCACACCATCCTGTCCGGTCATCTAGCTGATCAGCCCCTCTCCTTCTTGCCTTTTTTCTTCTCTCCTCCTTACTTATGTTATATCCTCCTTTCCTTGAAAATCTTCTCTTGCTTCTGGTCATTGTCAAGTTCTGTTTCTCCCTGGATCACTGCGACCAAATTAAAAGGCTAGATTTTTCTACCACCTCTCACTCTCAACCTTTTTCAGTCTAGTTTCTATCCTTCCTCTCTTTAGATTGATTCCTCTTTTGATGGTGGCAGGAGGTGGGGCAGAATTTTCTAATCAACAACTTCCAGTTCTCAGTTCTCATCTCCCCAGATATTTTAAAACCCAAACAACTCTTGTAGTTCCCCATTCCCAGCTTAATCAGGTGCATACAAGACAGCCTGACAGCCAGGCTCTCCTGCATCCCTCACCTACCTTCCCTGGCCTATCTCTTTCTATTCCCCTGCCCCCAGCCTATGCTTCTCCCTGTCCATTTACTATACTCTGGGCTTGGTCCTGGATACCCATTGCTCCCACTGCCCAAATACCCCCTCTACCATCCTAACTGTCATCTCCACAAATCTTCCCATTGCAAGGTCCAGCCCAAATTCCACCCCTTCCCTAAAGCCTCCTCACGTCTCTAAGTTGAACAGAATCCTGCAAACCTCTGTACCACACCCAGAGAACTCTGATAGCATTGAGCACATTCCTCCCTCTTGACTCTGCTCACAAATCTGAAAAGCTGAGGAGCTCCGGGCAGCCAGCACCACGGTGTACTCCCAAGCCTTGCCTTTCTGGGCCAGCGAAACAGGATTCCACCGAAAGCCAGGAAAGACATTTCTTGGGACTGAGTTGGCAGAAAAGAAGATACTTTAAATATTTGATAATTTGTGGTCACAGAGAATAGTGTGATTTTAAAATAGCCAGCGCTCATGCAGCAGGAGTGACTATAGTGTAAATTGGCATCCCAAAATGCAAATATGTATTGGATGTCTTAAGATTTGGCTGGCTGAAGTAAGAGATGGATGGAAGTATTACCAGGAGGAAAAGGTTAAAAAGAAAAAGCTGAAGGCAGGAAGGTAAGGAGACGAAGCGACCAGGGAGGAAGCCAAGGAGGTCTGCTGGATACTTGTGGGGCTCCTAAGGGAGTTAAAATGAATAACATTCGTCAGTCAGGACCTAGCACCCAGAGGGGGCTTAGCCATCAGAAACAGCTGCTGAAAACATTTTCTTGAGCATGGCAGGGGGCCTAGGGAAGAGAGACCTGAAGCAGAGGACCTGGGTGAAATGCCTGGAGATAGAAATGGTAGGTTTGGGGGAGTTTTTGACCTAGACCCCACAGAAGTACCACCCTTCAACGGAGTAGGCCTTAAAGAGCTATAAAGGTATGAGGCAGATATCACTATAATACTTCAGTTAATAATCATAATAATCACTACCAAGTATTTAATTCCTCCTAACTATAAGCTCTTGCCTTGCCAAATCTCACTAAACTTCTCATTCATTGGAACTTACAGCCATTGAATAATTTAATTCCATTCTACTAGCTATATTGTATAACCTACAAATAGATTAATGAGGTAAATGGCATTGGTAGCAGGATTGTTTACCTGTATATCACCAGCTCTGTATAATTTATAGCCCAAGATTCTCTCAATATATTTCAAACAGTCAATGTAACATGTAGTTCTTCAAGGACAGCACCCAGAAATGAAAACAGCTACCGGTTAGTGGACTGCACATTGACTCTCCAGTTTAATCTTCACAACAATACAGGGAAATATGTATTAGCTTTATTTTTACAAAAGTGGAGGCTGAAGCTCAGAAAGTGGGTCAAGGTAACGAACATGCCCAAGCTCCACAGACAGAAGATGCAAAATCAGGATATGAACCCAAGGTTGAAAAACTTCCAAGCCTGTGTCTTTCCCTGCCCCATGCTCAGGTTCTGTTTTATGTTCCAGGTAGAAGGGTCTGCCTTTAGCATTGAAGAGACTCATGTGGGCTTGAGCATAATAATAACAGGGGTTACAGCAGTAGCCTTGGTCCAATTATAGCAATAGCATTAACAATGCACAATTAAGAGTTCTAAATTTAAAGTTGGAGGACTTGTGTGTCATTTCCATTTCCCCTCCCTGGAGACAATGGAAGGAAAAAGCGAAGGTCTGCCAATGAGCAGGTGGAGAGGAGGCTAAGAGACCTGGCAAACTCATGTCTGTGGCTCCACAGTGACGTCATAGTCAAGTATGTTTTTTTTCCTAATGTGTTTGCAAATGTTTGGACTGAATTCGGTGCAGTGGCAGGCCTGCTGGTTAGAGAGAGGTGAGTTGGAATAAAGGACTCAGCTTGACCACCTACATCTCTTGATCTTACTTTCTCCATCTGGGAAAGGTCTCACAGTCTCACATCTAGGCATTTGTGTGGGGGTGTTCTGTGACCCATTTATAAGCTCTAGCCCTTGATGTCCTTAAATCATTACTGCTGTGTTCACACCACCCAAAGCTCTCAAACATTTCATCTTTCAGATTTCTTCTCTGAGGTCAAACGTCTTTTATTAATCTAAATATCCAAAGTAAAGGTTATTTAGGATCTTTTTTTTTCCTTTCCCTTTTCCATCCCACCTGTGTTCTGACCACTTCACAGGTTCTTGGCCCCTTTGCAGACACAGAAGGTCTTGATTTTTTCTATACAAGTGCCTACACCTTATCTTCCCTTCCTACCTCAATGTGAAAAAAACAACAGGAACTGGAGAGCTAGGGAGTTTCCCATCAATTTGTCAATCGTATTTACACTCACAGGAATGGATTTTAATAAAACCACATTTAACCAAGAGAACAATTCCATAAAATGTAAAGCAAAAATTCTTAAGGGAAAAAAATGTTTAAAAAAAAATTGAAACTCCTCTTAAGTATCCTTTCCAAAGGCGCTGCCTTGTTTGCTTCTTCTTAATATTGACTGACTTTTTCCCATAAAGTCTAATGCTCATGACCCGTGAAACCAGCTTGTCTTTTCCCAATGTCTGCCAGAAGAACCTGGCCCTAGGAGGTGAAGGGATTATAAGTTAGTTATAAAGTTGAAATTAGATTTGGGGGGAGCCTCTTTGTTTTTGGTCAGGCTGAATTTTCTTTCACACATACACACACACAAAAAGACGTTTTGGCTTTTTAAGTATATGGACAAACATCTAAATGTGTACATGCTATTGTACACTGAAGGAAATCACATGGAAAACTGAGAGCACATCTACAAAGTGCAAGAGAACCTGTGTCTTAGGTATAAAAGTGAGGCTGCTTGCCCTGATTTCCCAATGATCAAAGCTATGTAGACCCAAGAATCAGAATGCATCACAGCTTGTGGTTGTGGAAGTTGTTGCTTTGATAGCAGGGCAGCCACCTACAAAAGATCATGCCCTACATGGACTAGTCACTGGAGGAACAAGCATCATTTCATGGTGGAGACAACCACTGTCAGCTATATAGTTGGAGCACACCTTAGAGATGAAAAGGAAGGACGATGAGGACAAAAGCCACCTACACTGCCTCACCCCTCACCTAGCTCTTCTGTTCATTGCCAGCTGATCCTGAGCCCAATTTCGCTGATTTCCCCCCATCTTTGGTCCAAGCCTTTCTCTTCCTTTTTTTCTCAATTCTTCTTTCCCTATTGTCCTCCACACTCCTTCACCCATGACTTTTTCAAATCCTCAACCATTCATTATCCTGTCAGAGGATTCAGATTTGTACATAGTACAAATGCCATGTTGGACTGGAGAGAGGTAACTTCTTCTTAGAGAAGGGAAAGGAACTGATATTTACTGAGTCTGGCTTAGTTCTACGCTGGTGCCGAGTACCATCCAATCCTCACAGCAGCTCTGTCTCACTCCAGAGTGGAGGAAACTAAGCTTCAGTGAGGTTAAATGACTTCTCTGACAGCTTACCTGGCATTGTGTCATTCTGTAGGATTTCACAAGATACAAAAGACCTCCATACATGTTTCCTGGGCTCTATGGAAAATCTAGGCCTTCTACCTTGTTCTGAAGGGCCTTGCCCCTAAGGTCTAATCTCAGACTTGCCTTCTCTGGGCTCTCCCTTCTTTGGACTCCTCCACCAGTCCTTCCTGCCTCCAATCTGAGGCCAAACTCTACCTGAAGGTATGGGTCACCTCTCCTCCCTGCCCCATATCTATCAACGGCCCCAGGTCCAGGCCTTTGGTTCCTGGTGACTTGCTGTCTCATCAGCCACACCCACATCCCCCAGCCAGTTCAGGGATGTCAGCTACTGGGCATTCTTTCCTCTCAATTCTCCACCCCGAGTACCTCCTCCTGAGCCCTCTTGAGGTCTGTTTTCCAAAATTATTCCTTGAAATTTTATGTGTGGGAATTGACTGTGGAAGTCGGAGATGGAATGTGCAGAGAAGGGCAAAGGCGGAAAAACTGGGACAACTGTAATAGAATGGCGGTTTTAAAAATCGTCAAAATAAATAATTAAATGAAAATCTATAGGGGTAGGGCCAAAACATTAATATTCCTTTAAAAGCTTCCCCAGGAGATGCCAAGCTGTAGCCCAGGTTGGAAACCACACCTCAGAGCACCTTGCCTGTTACTTCATTTCAGGAAAATAAAAAATTTTGCAACAGGGAAAGAACACTGAGTTCCCATTTTCCTGTTTGTTCCTATCAGCCCTGAATTCTGCCCACCCTTCATGTCTGATAATGTTTCACTGTTTATTGGGAAGAATGTGTAGTCACACCTTTGATGCAGGGAATCAGTCTTTAGAACCCATTGACTCACCTGTTATCAGCTGATAAGCCTATGCCTCTTGCTCAGAATATTAAATAAGAGACAGAGTAGCTAAAAGAGAAACCTACCTCCATTAGGCATAGTTTCTCTGGTTACCTGTCTATGGAAAAGTGTTAGAATCCCAAATCTCAGAATCTTCTAACTGGAAAGGAAGTTCAGGTCACCAGCATGTATCTCCATGGTCATTACTAGACAGAAGGGGATTATAACATTCTATAAAATGTCAATCCCCGAGTTTGGAGGATACATTCTGTTAGGACCATACAGATCCCTGTACTTTGACGGCAGCCTCTGCCAGGCAAACGTCTGCCAGGTTTTCCAGGATAAGGTACCTTAAAGCAACATGGTGATGAGAAAATAACCATTTTGAGACAGTTCTGGGTTTGACCCCAGCTCTGCTTTTCCCTTGCTCTATGTACTTGGACAGGTTACTTAACCTCTGAGTCACGATATCTTTGATTATAACATAGAGGTAATAATATTACTTACATTGCAATTGCAGGTTTTGGTGTGGATTAAACTTTTTAATGTTTGAAAAAGCTCTTAACAACTTTCATTCAAAAGTAGCAATTGCTATGACAACTAGAATAGGATGAGCTTTCTGCCTTGTGTCACACAGCTCTTCAGTCCTGCTCTATTAGAACTCCCCAAGCTAGGGGCCTTCCCATCTGGAAGACAATGAGGGCTCATTTGCCTTCCTTTTGTAAGATTCATTATGCTTGCAGTGGACATGTTTACTGACTATCTTTCCCCACTTTGGTAGAAGCTCCATGAGGGCAAAGATCATGTCTGCCCTGTTAATTGCTGCCTTCCCGTGCCCACACATGGGGCTCAGTAGAAAACTGTGGAGACAGTCAATGCACTTTAAGGACACCCTAGAAACCACTTTCAATATATTTGGACTGGAGGTCACTGCAGGAGAGTCCCAGCAGTCTGTACAGCTTCCACTTATTCTTAGAAAGGAAACTGCTCCTAAACCATGATCATATTGAAAGGCCTGAGGCTGATATAATATCTTTTTATATGTACCCAACCTACAGCTTGCCATGACCTTAGTAGTCCCTTTGGAAGGAAGCAAAAACATAGTGCCCTTGTTAAATCACTTAGTGACCTTGCTTCATTATATGCTATAAATTAATACTGGCTTTTCCTAAAGTGGACACAGCTATATGAAACATTGAGCCCACATGGAAATATTCGAGAAGACAGATGTTTGGGTTAGAAGTCAAAGCAACCCAGTTTTACTGTAAGATCTATTGAATCTTTAATGTCTCCTTAATCACACCATTACCCCTTCCTGGTCCCCAGATTATCAAGCTTTAAAATGAGGAACTGAAATAGATAAATTCTATTGGCCCTCCCAGCTCCAATTGTCCTAATGTTCTCATTCTACAGGCATTTGCATGCATGTCCTTCATCAATTACATGATTGTAGGCGATGGTTTTGCAATTCCCACAATTCCACATCCATTAACAATAACAAGGTTCACATCGCAGTTTATGGACTTGCTGGTTCTCAGAAGTTCAGTGCTGGTTGGTTGTGGTTACTTGGTTTTATTAAACCAGGGCCTGATCAATCATGCTGAGATGATCTTGTCTGTCTGCTTGTGTCTTGCCCCTCGTCCCACAGCCATGCTGCAGGCAGTGCGAGCCCTGATGATTGTGGGCATCATCCTGGGTGCTATCGGCCTCCTGGTGTCCATCTTTGCCCTCAAGTGCATCCGCATTGGCAACATGGAGGACTCTGCCAAAGCCAAAATGACACTGACCTCTGGAATTATGTTTATTATCTCAGGTAAACTAGGGTCTGGGGTTTCTGCTTGTCAAACATGCTTCTGGGAATGCCAAAGCAAAATTATTCTGGCAAAGGAAACACAGCTTCTCCCTAGCGAGCATGGTTTGGACATAGTTCAGATCTTTTCCCATCGGGATTCAAGATCTGAGATTAAGGCCCAGTAACCCTCTACAGAATTATCATGAGTGCTAAGGTCCCTCTTAGCTGCCACCCCAGTCCCATTATAAGAGATTTCCAACCCTAAGGTAATCATGTGACTCAACCTTTAAAGGCATTATTTTGGTAAGATTCTATAAAATGATTTTAAGGGATGAACTCTCGACATTGTCAAAGAACCAAACCCCAAATATTTATACTATTTACCATTGGTCCCAAAATGCATGAAAAATCTATTTCTACACATATGCAAATCCTTCCACATTTGGAGAGATGAGAGAGTCTAAACATCTAGCACAATGTCTAGTACATAGTGGGAATTTAATAAACAACGCTTATAGGAATGTAATGTTCTGTAGCCTGCTCAGCTAAACTCATTTAAGTATACATTGCCTCAAAAAGATTGTGATCCCTTAAAATCTGACTCCAGAGTTTTCTTTTTCTCTGTCTACAGGACTTTGTGCAATCAGTGGAGTATCTGTGTTTGCCAACATGCTGGTTACCAACTTCTGGATGTCTACAGCCAACATGTACACCGGCCTGGGTGGGATGGTACAGACTGTTCAAACCAGGTAACCTCCTAATCTAGGTCTCAGGATTCCATGAAGAATATTGTTGTTAAAATCCGATTAAACACATATGCCTAATGTGACTGTCAGTGTCTGAAACAGCAAAAATTTATCAGAGGCAACCATGCCATATTGTAAATCGACAATGATCTGTAAATTCATAACCTTCATTTCAGTGAAATATCCTTGCTGATATGACTTGAGGCTGATCTGACATTTGCATTGAAATACAGCGACAGTTCATGGCATTTATCTAACACTCTTACATAGACCCCATTGTGGTAGCAATGAAAACAGGCACTATTAACCAAGGCATGTAAATTAGCATCAACCCACATCTTCGATCCATGATGGGAACCTAGGCTAGGAACAGGTAAAAGCCTGAATAAAAATGAGCAAGATGCAGTATAGATGAGAAAGGTAATGTTTCACCCTCATTTGGCTTGACTCTCATTCATTAATTCGTTCTTTCTACAAATGTATTAAGCACCTACTGTGGGCCAGGAACTGTTCTGAGTGCCAGGGAAGACAAGGTCCCCGTTCTCGTGGAGGTTATGGTGTAGCAGAGGGAGATGAAACTTCCCTATAATTTGGTGTCTGAAGGAGGGCAGAACTTTTAAAAGATGGAAAAGCAATTCTAACATGTGTATTCATTTAGCCACTTCAAAGTCACATTTCTCACAGTAAGAAGCAGCAGCAAAGTCCTGAAGGAGAAAGATCTTGTTTGGAAAGTGCAATGTAAATATTATAGTGAAGTGACCAATCATCTCTGGGTTAGATATACTTGGTATTTCTCCAGCCACACCACCATGGGCTACAGGCAGGGTGTAAGGACAAGATAAACCCATTTACTCTCTGGCTCCCTGGAACTCCTGTCTCCATCCATGTCCCTGCTTTGCTTCAAGAATGGAAAGGAAGTGATCCCTATAGCTGCCCCTATTCTTCTGTATGGTTCTCCCATGTTCTCTTGGTTACAAAAGCAACTTAGAAATAAGCTGGGACTTGCCCCGTTTGGGCATAGAAAGTCCCATGTTCTAGAAAGCTCTTCTGTCACAGGCAAATAGGAAGAGCCCACCTTGTCCTGTGTGCCTAGTGTCACTGTCCCTGCCCAGAGGAGCCACCTTCCACCCACCTGCCACCCAGTGCTACCCCATGCCATCACCCTCTCACACCGTCGCCCTAGAACCTGCCCCCACCCCTTGAGCAGCCAACTTCAGTCCTGAGATTGACACCAGGGGATTCTGACAGGTCCCCTGAACTCTTTCCCCCATGGATGGGCAGTATTTTTTCTCTTTCTGTCTTTTTATGTTCCCTAAACAGACAGTACAGCTGCCAAGAAAGATCTTGGCAATTAATTGATGGGGCTTTTTCCGTCCCAGTATCCCCTCTTCCTGCCCCTCAACTCTGCCATTACCACTATGTGTGTAACACTGGCAGAGCCCAAGCCCGGGACCGGAGTTACAAACTGTCTGCACTTACCCTGTACATGTCCTGCAAGGTGTTTTGTATTAGCCGAAACCTCTCATTTTATAGCCTGAATTAATCACCAACTTTTTAAAACTAAAAGTGTCTCACGTTGGGTTACTCAAACAGATCTTGAGAAATAGGTCCTGAGGATCTACATATCAGTGATTTATTAAGGATAGGAGACCGGTTAGGGGGTGGGGCAAGCAGGCCAGGGAAGGGGATGATCTCCGATGAAGACTTGGACTCAGCCTGATCTTAGGAAGCTGCGGGGTCTTCCATGCTTCGGCGCCAGTCAGCCCCTGTGCTGGTGGCGAAGTGACTCCGGGGGCAGAACCAAAGCCAGAACTCCAGGGAGAGCCACAGGGAGCAGCCGGGAAAGGCAAAAGAACACAGAAGCTAAGGGAGAGACACAGAAATGGTTAAAGGGACAGAGGGGACCTGGGCAGCGCACCACTGTACCTGCTAGACAGAGATTTCATGATACACACCTGTTTTTTTCACCTTCTTATAAAAAGGAAAATCAGATCTGGCAGCACCGGGCCCTCATTCTCATATGGTAAGAATCTCTGCAGCTGAGCGACAGCTGCCCTTTGACGAGGGCTCCCACGCTCCAGGTTGCCATAATCCCCACCCCTCTCAAGTGCTCAACTCTGAGGCCATTTATCATCATGTTTATGGTCCACCCCCCCCCCCATATAATAGAGTTAAGAAAGTGAAATATTTCCTTACATCCAGCCCACTTTACTCATTTAAGTTTCTTACTTGTCCCAGATAGGTATATAAGTTTGCTAACTTTAATCAAGTTGAGGAAGAGAACCTCCTTCCTCACGCACGTAGGATAGTATAGTTTAATGATTAACAGTGAAGGTTTTGAAAGCAGAGTGACTTGCATTTGAATCCTGGCAATGCCATGTTCTTCTGGCGTCTTTGGAAAAATTAATTAACCTCTCAGAGCCTCAATTTGCTCATCTGTAAGATGGACTCATAAATTTAGTTCTTTATGGAGACAATACTCTACCTGCAGGATGGTTGCCGGGACTGCTGGAGGCAGGCGAGATGAGTGCTTCTTGGCCCACAGTGAGAACTCAAGGGCCCAAAATCCCTTCAGAAATAAAAACTCAAGGCTGATTCTCTCAAACTTCTCTGGTGAAACCATCAAGACACTCCACTTTGGTGATAGGGAGGGGAAGGAGATTTCCTGAGATGTTTCTCTAAGATGAGAGATTTCTAATTAATCTTATGCCTCAGTGATCTCAGAGACCCAAGAGTCCCCGTGCTGTTTTGCCAGCTAGCTTTCGGTCCCGGTGGTGTTCTCCAGGCCCCTGTTCAGTTGGCTGTGACCCAAAGGCGTGTGTGTTCCAGGGGCACGGGCAGGGGTCAGTGTGGAATCCAAAGGGGAAACAGGACAGGCGTAGCCAAGTGCAGTGGGTGGAGCCTGGGGATTTGAGTCAGCCACACTCATAGCCATTATCTCCCCACTCAGGTACACCTTTGGTTCGGCTCTGTTCGTGGGCTGGGTCGCTGGAGGCCTCACGCTCATTGGGGGCGTGATGATGTGTATCGCCTGTCGAGGCCTGGTGCCCGAAGACAGCAAGTGAGTCTCCCCATCCCGTGCAATCAGACACTCGACCTGAGTCCATTTTAACACATAACTTGCAGCCAGAATGATCAGTCTGGGCATATGGAATAACATTGTTGAGGATGAACCTTCTTTTTTTATGAGGAATAAAAAAAAACAGAACAGGAATATTTCTGTTTGGGCAAATTTAGGTGTGATCCTGTTTGAAGGGGAAAAAACATCCCTGGGATCTCTGGCTCTCTGTAACTGAATGACTCTCAGCTGGGATCCATTTTCCCCCCAGGAGATGTTTGGCAACATCTGAGTACATTTTGTTACATCTTTGGTGTATGGTGGGGGAGGGAGGATAGGCAATACTAACATCTAGTGGGTGGCGACCAGAGTTGTTGCTAACCATCCTACAATGCACAGGCGGGCCCCCACAACAAAGAAGCATACATCCCAAATGCCAACAGCACTGCTGCTGAGAAAACTTGCTCTAACTCCATAAATGGACCCAGAAAGGGAAGACCTGGATCGCAGTCTGGCTCTACTGCTAATTAGCCCTGTGCCCACTAGCAAATTATTTGCCCTTTCTGTACCTCTGTTACCTCATCCATAAACTGAGCAGACTACAGGAGAAGGGCCTCTAGTTCACAAATTCTGTGATTCCTTAGCATAACCATGTTCCCCTAGACATTTTTTCTGGCTCAGCTTCACTTTAATTGATTAACAGAGAGAACTCACTAGTTAGTGACTACCAGCTCTAATACAAAGCAAAAAATTCTGCTCCACTTCAGAGGCAGAAAAACCAGTGTCCCAAAACCTAGCGTGACCGGTTCTCTCAGTTTGCCCAAGTGTAAGTGTTTCCTGGGCTACTGGACTTTCAGTGCTAAACCTGAGACATTCCAGGGTAAATGACATGCTCTGTCCTCCTATCACATACATCTACTGTCCTGAAATGTTTCTTTTTCTTTCAGCTACAAAGCTGTGTCTTACCGTGCCTCAGGCCACAACGTTGGCTACAGGACGGACGGCTTCAAGGCTAGCACTGGCTTTGGGCCCAACACCAAAAACAAGAAGATATACGATGGGGGTGCCCACACAGAGGATGAGGGACAATCTCATCCTTCCAAGTATGACTACGTGTAGCACTCTAAGACACCTCAGCATGGGCGAAAGAAAACCCCAGTTAGAGCTCACCCAAAAAACAAGGACATTTTACCTTGATTCCTGATTGCTTTTGACTCTCCGATGAAGTTAGAAAAAACTTGATTTCACCTGTGGTCAGGCCAGATGGTCTTAGCCAAATGTCCTGTCTGTAAATGTCCCATCACAAAACTGCTGAGTTATCAGATATGCTTTAGACTGAGGCTATAGCTCACATTTTGCAATCCTCTTTTTTGTTAATATAACCTTCCTAATCTGATGATAGAATGTGGTTTGAATTCCTATCAGACACTTGAATGATTTAGATAGACTCTTCCTCCTCCTTCTAGCCAATAGCCCATTGATTATCTATTTCTCAACTCATCCCCCAGAACAATTCTGAAAGGAAAAAAAGAGAGTCAGTCAAAGGACATCATTTCCTGCTATTTGATTTTTGCCTCCCCTCCCCCCAACTTGGCTACTAATAAACACTGGCTGAAGAAGAGGTGAGGGGGGAAATAAGTTTGTAATGTCTCTAGCTCATTGTCCGAATTTTCTTCTGCTATGATCTTAAATGTCACCTGGACGAAAGTGATTTCAGTTTCAGTAAACCAAGCCTTTCTGTATTTTTGCATTGGTTGGGGCGGGGTGGGGGGGTGGGGCGCTGGTGGGACGGGGGGCGGGGCCAGGTTGGAATTTGCTAATTCCAGCAAGATTCTCCCATGGGTCCCCCGAGCTCTCCACTGTGGGTCCCCTTCTTGTCACAGGCCAGAAAATATCCCTAGAAAAATGAGAAGAGGATTTTTTTTTGGTACTCTAAATATATTTTGTATTCTATATATATTAGAATAAATAATTGTATTAGTAAAATGATACACTGTCTCTGTGAATTAGCCTTATTCCTACACATTGATAAAAGAAAATGAAAAACTAATTGTTTTGATGCTGTCTGTATTTTACAGTGTAAAAGTCACACTTAAGTCCAAATTTCATAAAATGCTTGCTGGTCCTAATTCCCTTTGAAATCTCCAGGACTTGGATTATAATAATAGAGTCAGTGTAACCCATGTAAAAACCAAATAATGGAACACAACGGGTCCCAGGAAGTGAGGTGAAACTAGTTATTTTTGTAAAAAAGTGATGAGCCCAAAGTTAGTGCTATGTTTCCAAGTGCTACACGTCCACACTCGCATAGCTACAGGCCACTGACAGTTGACAGTAGACTTACTTAGGTGGCACTGTGGTGAACTTTGTTACTCTGAGAGCAGTTCTCATCAGTAAATTCACCTAGAGTGGTTAGGCTGCTGAGTGTTTAAGGACCAAAAGCTCTTTGCAGCCACACCCCTTCCCTGTGTGTACACCACTGCCACAGAAAGCCTCAGTTCCTTCCAGACCACCAGAATTCCATTCCAGCACCAGAGCCAGAATGGACCTGCTGGGAAACTGAGGTATCTGTGAGAGTGGGAGGTGAGATCTGACCACTGGATGATTATTTGGCAGGGGGAAATGTTCTCACACCAATAGTGCCTATGAAAGTGATCTCCAAGGAGATGGGTGAATAATCATAGGAATCCTTAGGCTGGACAGACTATATCTAGGGAAAGACCAGATCGTGGCTCATTAAACAGAAAGGAATTGTGTTCACCAAGAGAGGAAACAGTAAGTCAGACCCTTCTCACTGAGACAGCAATGGTTTTAGACCCAATCAAATAGAGCACTCACTGAACTCGCTGCCTAAGATGGGGTAAATGAAGAACATGTAAATCAATTCACAAAGAAGAAGTTGGGGTGGGAGGAGAGGAAGCTGGACAAGCTAGGGCGTGGAGATTGTTAAGGGTCCTCAGCATTTGAGTTGAAGGCCTTGAGGCACAAAGATCTCTCTTCCTCCCACCACCAGAAAGGCCTGAGGCGCTGAGGTGTGGCTCGGTTGGGTTTTTAATCAGCATATTCTACATCGGACTCTAATTGTTTAAAAGTCTCCGTGTAGTTAGATTGTGCTTTGTAATTATTTTTTGTTCCACTCTCTTATTGTATATGCGTTGAATATTGGCCAGCATATTTTGTTACTTAAATATTAAAAATGCTTGTCTCACATTTGAACAGCTTCTGTTCTTTTTTTCTAAGATTTGGGAGGTGAAGGTATGGGCCTGAAAGCCAAGTGCATCTTCCTGGAGTGCTCACTCTGAAATTCTTGCATTCCATGAAACCCCTCAGCCCCCAGCAATCTAGGAGATCTGGTCACCCTAGGCCAAGGCCACATAGCTGACAGGAAAACATTCCAGCAAGGCTGGATCTGGCTCCACACCACACTTTCTTTCCGCCATGCCAGAATGAATCCCACTAAACAGGCAAAATACACATACACACATATGAGGGAAAGAAGGAGGGAGGGAAGAGGGGAGGAAGGAAGAAAGAAAGGAGTAAATTTACTTTAAACAAAAAATATTTTACTTACTAAGCCAAGAAGCATAATATTTAAAACAACATAATATTGTAAAATTTCAATCTTTAATTCTCAGGTTTTAAAAAAATGTCAAAAGGAGCAAATCTATTGTAAATGATGGACAGACAGATGGTGGGCATAAGGGGGACATCAGGCTAGCTGGCCCCGCTGAGTTGACACATGCGACCTCTGCAAAGCTCTCAGTACTCTGTGCAACGTGCGTGCACTTTTAAGGGTTTCCAGGCTATCAAGGGCTGTGGTGTAATGTCTCCCAGAAGGGTAGGGAGAGGCCCAAGGCCCCAAAGTGCACTGTCTGCAGGTGAAAAATCCCTGATCCCTCCAGTGGTGGCAGCCAAAAGCCACCCAAATTTCACTGAGATTGGGTTTGGGCTGAGGTTCATTTCATGTCAGCACTAATCTTATGCTGGAGCTCCCCAACAATGTCTAGGATCTGAGTCAGTTTCCACTGCCATTAAGAGCTTTCCCATTCCGAAGACTCCCAGACTCCTTCTATGAGGCCAGCATCACCCTGATCCCAAAACCAGATAAAGACCCTACAAAGAAAGAAAACTACAGGCCAATTTCAATGATGAACATAGATGCTAAAATCCTCAACAAAATATTGGCAAACCGAATTCAGCAACACATTAAAAAGATTATCCACCACAATCAAGTGGGATTCATCCCAGGGATGCAGGGATGGTTCAATATACGCAAATCAGTAAACGTGATACATCACATAAATAAAAGACAAGACAAAAACCACATGATCATCTCGATAGACGCAGAAAAAGCATTTGACAAGGTACAGCACCGATTTATGATCAAAACACTCAGCAAAATGGGAATAAATGGGGCATTCCTCAACGTAATAAAGGCCATATATGAAAAACCTACAGCCAATATCACACTCAACGGGCAAAAACTGAAAGCTTTCCCACTAAGATCGGGAACACACCAAGGATGTCCGCTCTCACCGCTTCTTTTCAACATCGTATTGGAAGTCCTAGCCACAGCGGTCAGACAAGAGAAAGAGATAAAAGGCATCCAAATAGGAAAGGAAGAAGTAAAACTATCATTGTTTGCAGATGACATGATAGTGTACATAGAGAACCCTGTAGACTCTACCAAAAAACTCCTCAACCTAATAAGTGAATTTGGCAAAACAGCAGGATACAAATCAACATTCAGAAACCAAAGGCGTTTTTGTACACCAGCAATGCAATAGAAGAAGAAGAAATCAGAAAAAATATACCATTCGATATAGCAAGAAAAAAAATAAAGTCCCTAGGCATAAATTTAACCAAAGACACAAAAGACCTGTATGCAGAAAACTATACAACATTGAAAAAAGAAATTAAGGAAGACACAAATAAATGGAAGCATATACCGTGCTCATGGATTGGAAGAATTAATATCATCAAAATGTCCATACTACCCAAAGCAATTTATAGATTCAACGCAATCCCTATTAAGATACCAAAGACGTATTTCACAGAAATAGAACAGACATTTCAAAAATTTATATGGAACCATAAAGGACCCCGAATAGCCGCAGCAATTTTGAGAAAGAAACACAAAGTAGGAGGGATCACAATACCGGACATCAAACTCTACTACAAAGCCACCATACTCAAAACAATCTGGTACTGGCACAAGAACAGACCCATAGACCAGTGGAACAGAATAGAAAGCCCAGAAATAAGCCCAGGTCTATAAGGACATCTAATATTCGACAAAGGGGGCAGAAGCATAAAATGGAGCAATAACAGCCTCTTCAACAAATGGTGTTGGGAGAGCTGGACGGCTACATGCAAACAATTGAAATTGGATCATCAGCTGACGCCATACACAAAAATAAACTCAAGATGGATAAAAGACTTAAATATAAGTCGCAACACCATCAAAGTCCTAGAGGAGAACATTGGCAGGAAACTCTCAGATATCCCATGCAGCAATTTTTTCACTGATATGTCTCCTAAAGCAAGGGACATAAAGGAAAGAATAAACAAGTGGGACCTCATCAAAATAAGAAGCTTCTGCACGGCGAAAGAAAACATCAGCAAAATGAAAAGGGAGCCAACCGTATGGGAAAATATATTTGCTAATGATACATCAGATAGAGGTTTGATCTCCAAGATATATAAAGAACTCACTAGACTCCACTCCAAGAAGACAAACGATCCAATCAAAAAATGGGCAAAGGACCTGGGCAGATGCTTTTCTAAGGAGGAGATACAGAGGGCCCAGAGGCATTTGAAAGGATGCTCAGCATCACTAGCCATCAGAGAAATGCAGATCAAAACCACCATGAGGTACCACCTCACACCGGTCAGAATGGCCATCATAAACAGATCAACAAACAACAGGTGCTGGCAAGGCTGTGGAGAAAAGGGAACCCTAGTACACTGTTGGTGGGAATGCAGACTGGTGCAGCCACTATGGAAGGCAGTGTGGAATTTCCTCAGAAAGCTGAAAATGGAACTGCCTTTTGATCCAGGGATTCCCCTGCTGGGACTATACCCTAAGAACACCAAAACGCCAATACAAAATAACCTATGCACCCCAATGTTCATAGCAGCACAATTTGCAATAGCCAAGTGTTGGAAGCAACCTAAATGCCCATCAGTAGATGACTGGATCAGAAAATTATGGTACATATACACAATGGAATACTACGCAGCAGAAAGAAAAAAAGAACTACTAAACTTCGCGACAGCATGGATGGAACTGGAGAGCATTATGCTAAGCGAAATAAGCCAGGGGGTGAAAGACAAATACCATATGATCTCACCTATAAGCGGAACCTAACCAACAATGCAAAGATGCAAGGAAAATATGACCAGCAACACTGAAAGGAAAAGAAATCAACAGAGACAAGAGGGAAGCGGGGGGCAGGGAAAGGGAAGGGAAGGGGAAAGTCAAGGAACATATAGCAAGGACTCATAGACAACACCAAAGGGGAAGAGCTCAGGGAGGGAAAAAGGGAGGGGGCAAGGGAAAGTGGTGGGCGGGGGGAGGCAGAGACAAATGTATTTAAAAAGTAAATAAATTAAAAAAAAAAAAAAGAACTTTGGTAACCCCTAATCTACTTTCTGTCTTTATAAATTTGTCTCTTCGAGTTTTTTCATATAAATGGAATCATACAATATGTCATTTTTTTGTGACTGGCTTCTCTGACTAGCATAATATCTTT